TAAAGCTAGAAGGAATAAAGAAGAAAGACTGGGGAAACTTAGAAAAGGGAAACCTAGCCAAAATTAAAAGAAATGATAAAGTTACGAGATTTAGAGATAAGGGTTAGGGATTGTATAAGGGGGATACCACATGGGAATGTATATTGGTATTTAGTTTAAAACTTGCTGGAAATTATTTTAGGATTATATAACTATATATACACTGCTCAAAAAAAATAAAGGGAACACTTAAACAACACAATGTAACTCCAAATCAATCACACTTCTGTGAAATCAAACTGTCCACTTAGGTAGCAACACTGATTGACAATCAATTTAACATGCTGTTGTGCAAATGGAATAGACAACAGGTGGAAAGCATAGGCAGTTTGCAAGACATCCCCAATAAAGGAGTGGTTCTGCAGGTGGTGACCATAGACCACTTCTCAGTTCCTATGCTTTCTGGCTGATGGTTTGGTCACTTTTGAATGCTGGTGGTGCTTTCACTCTAGTGGTAGCATGAAACGAAGTCTACAACCCACACAAGTGGCTCAGGTAGTGCAGCTCATCCAGGATGGCACATCAATGTGAGCTGTGGCAAGAAGGTTTGCTGTGTCTGTCAGCGTAGTGTCCAGAGCATGGAGGCGCTACCAGGAGACAGGCCAGTACATCAGGAGATGTGGAGGAGGCCATAGGAGGGCAACATCCCAGCAATAGGACCGCTATCTCTGCCTTTGTGCAAGGAGGGACAGGAGGAACACTGCCAGAGCCCTTCAAAATGACCTCCAGTGGGCCACAAATGTGCATGTGGCTGTTCAAACAGTCAGAAACAGACTCCATAAGGGCGGTATGAGGGCCCGACGTCCACAGGTGGGGGTTGTGCTTACAGCCCAACACCATGCAGGATGTTTGGCATTTGCCAGAGAACACCAAGATTCGCAAATTTGCCACTGGCGCCCTGTGCTCTTCACAGATAAAAGCAGGTTCACACTGAGCACATGTGACAGACGTGACGGGGTCTAGAGACGCCGTGGAGAACGTTCTGCTGCCTGCAACATCCTCCAGAATGACCGGTCAGTAATAGTTTGGGGTGGCATTTCTTTAAGTGGCCGCACAGCCCTCCATGTGCTCACCAGAGGTAGCCTGACTGCCATTAGGTACCGAGATGAGATCCTCAGACCCCTTGTGAGACCATATGCTGGTGCGGTTGGCCCTGGGTTCCTCCTAATGCAAGACAATGCTAGACCTCATGTGGCTGGAGTGTGTCAGCAGTTCCTGCAAGACAAAGGCATTGATGCTATGGACTGGCCCGCCCGTTCCCCAGACCTGAATCCAATTGAGCACATCTGGGACATCATGTCTCCCTCCATCCACCAACGCCACATTGCACCACAGACTGTCCAGGAGTTGGGGGATGTTTTAGTCCAGGCTTGGGAGGAGATCCCTCAGGAGACCATCCGCCACCTCATCAGGAGCATGCCCAGGCATTGTAGGGAGGTCATACAGGCACGTGGAGGCCACACATACTACTGAGCCTCATTTTGACTTGTTTTAAGGACATTACATCAAAGTTGGATCAGCCAGTGTTTCTTTCCAGTTTAATTTTGAGTGTAACTCCAAATCTAGACCTCCATGGGTTGCTAAATTTGACTTCCATTGATAATTTTTGTGTGATTTTGTTGTCAGCACATTCAACTATGTAATGAACAAAGTATTTAATAAGAATATTTCATTCATTCAGATCTAGGATGTGTTATTTTTGTGTTCCCTTTATTTTTTTGAGCAGTGTATATATAACTGTATATGAATTATGCTGTTATGAACCCTTACATTGGAGGATTAAAACAGGGGAATGGAAATGTATTAAAATATATAGATAAATTTTGGATAAGTGGAAAGGAAGAAAAATATGATTATTAATGATTATATGTTTTAATACATTTCACTTTTCTTATAAATTTTGGATAAGTAGAAAGGGGGAAAATATGATTATTAATGATTAAAAGAAAAGTGAAGATGAAATGAGACATATTAAGAAGTCATTTTAGCAATTTCAGGGGGGATACCTTAAAATAAATATTTTTTAAAATATACAGTTGATTATTTAATGTTAATATGTTTAAAGTGGGGGAATTAATTCTTAAATTAGATAGATTGAGGGGATATACCATGTGGATCCTAAATATATTGGTTTTGTCTTATTTTTACTTTTTTTAGATTGTTTATTATATAATTGGTCTAGGAAAAATTAAGGATAATAATGATGTGTAATGTTAAATAAAATAGGTGGTAAGCTGAAAACGGAAATAATAGGGGATAAAGAAGTGGGAATCTATATGTGGATGAAATGATATTGATATTGAATTAATGAATTGAAATATGAAATGGAAAATTATTTAAAAATGAGTGAAATAGATAATATGAGATGATATTATAGATTGGTGGAAATGAAAGTATGATTATGTACAAGTCTTATAATCTGGAATCACTTTGCCCATGTAAAGGGATGTGTAAAATTTAAAAAATAAAAAACTTTTTGGAAAAAAAAATCTCCTTTCCAACATTGTGTGAGTGCTAATATCGCTGCTGTTATGATATGCAGGATTAGATATTTTATCTCTTTCATATAATTCTCTTTGATAATTCTCAGGAGAAATATTTCTGCTTTAAATTCTGTTTGGACTTTTGTAATTTCCTTCAACCATTTTTGTATTTTGGTCCAACATTTCTTAATTTTTTGACTTAGCCACCATACATGAAAGAAGGTACCCTGTGATTGCTTACATTTCTAACAATTTGGGCTTAAAAAATTAGAATACATTTTAGCCAATCTCGAAGGGGCTAGATACCACCGGTAGCACATTTTATGTTGGTTTTCCTTATATGCTGCTGATTTTGTTATCGTATAATTTTTTTCCAGATCTTTTCCCAGTCCTCCAGCTCTATGTTATGTCCCAAATTCCTGGCCCACGCTATCATCGATCCTTTCACTATTTCTTCTGCCAAATCATATTCTAATAAATAGTTATATATCCTTGATATCAGTTTTTTTTCTGTACATACCATTAATTTATCTAGTTGGTTTGGTTCTACCACAATTCCAAATTTCTCTTGGTCTTTTTTATATTTTGATTTTAATTGGAGGTACAGCCACCAGTCTATATTTAGTCCCAGATCTCTTAATTCCTGGTTGGTCTTTAATGCTCCTTGGGGATCTAAAATTACATAATATCTGGCCATTCCTCCTAGTTCTAATGTATTGGGGTTTATCATTGCCTCCATAGTGGATACCATCCTGGGATTTTTATGTAATGTTTATTTTTAATTTCTTCCCATATTCGTATTAGCGAGTCCCTTAGTATATGTCTGTGGAAATATGTATGGGCCTTACATCTGGGACTCCACATGAAGGCATGCCACCCTGCCTGTAGATGGTGCCCTTCCAGAAATGGAATTCTTTTATTTCTTAAGTTTACCCATTGTTTAATTCATGTTAGGCCTGCTGCTTTATAGTAAATTTCCCAAGCTGGGAGTCCAAGCCACCTCTGCTTCTATTATCCTGCATTGCACTTAATTTTATTCTTGCTCTTTTGCCCTCCCATACAAATTTTGTAGTTATTTTGTTTAGATATGGGGAAAAAATTCTTGTCCAATTTCACAGGGATCATTTGAAACAGGTAAAGTAGTTTTGGCAGAATATTCATCTTAAAGGCCACAAATTCTTCCTGACAAAGATAACTGTATTTTCCCCCATCCTTCTAAATCTTTTTTTGTTGTACTAAACTCATGTAATAATCATCTTTTATTGATGATCATCTCGCTGTTAGTCAGATGCCCAAATATTTAACTTTCTTTGCAGTCCTATTTCTTTCTCTAATTCCCTCTTCTGATCATCTGTTAGATTTTTAATTATCATTTTAGTTTTCTCCTTATTAATTGTAAGGCCAGCTACTTCCCCAAATTTTTCTATCTCTTGTATTAATTTTGGTCCTGTCTCCAATGGTTCTTCTATGAAAAATACCAGGTCATCAGCAAACGTTTGGACCTTATATTCTTCTTGTTCGATTTTAAGCCCTCTTATCTCCCAATTCGATCTTATTAACAAAGGCTCTAACGTCAGGATAAAGAGCAGAGGTGACAGAGGACAGCCCTGCCGTACTCCTTTCATTATTTCGAATGTATTTGTAAATTTCCCATTTATTATTATGCTTGCTTTCTGGGAAGAGTATATTGACTCCATCATGTTTTCAAATCTGTCTCCAAATTTCATTCCTTTTATCTGTTGGGTCATAAACTGCCAGTTAACCTTATCAAAGGCCTTTTGAGTATCCAGAAAAACTAAGACCGGCTGTTTTTCTGGATGGGCCTCATAATACTCTAGTACGTTGATTACTGTTCTTGTGTTATTCTTTATTTGTCTCATCAAGTGAAGGTGGATCCTTTGGGAATGGCTCCCCTCCAGAAGTTGTGGGGGCTCCATCACTGGAGGGTCTTAAGAGGAGATTGGACAGCCATTTGTTCGGAATGGAATAGGGCAGTGGTGGCTAAACTTTTTGGGCTCTTGTGCCAAAAACTCTGTGCGCGCTTGCATGCTCGCACTCACGTGCCAGCACCCAGAAGGCAATGAGCGCCCCCCCCCCGTCCCCTACGCATGTGCACGCAATGGAGAAGTTGTTAGAAGCAATTCTTTTCTGTGTGACTTCATCAGTCTCTTGCAGCATTATGGAGGAATTTTGTCTCAATCTTTTTTACAGCATTGCTTCAGTTCATTGAGGTTTGTGGGTGTTTTTTTTAGGCACAACTCTCTTGAGGTCCCATCAATTGGGTTGAGGTTTGGATTTTGACTGCCATTGCAACACCTTGATCCTTTTCTTTTTCAGCCCTTCTGTTGTAGATTTCCTGATGTGTTTTGCGACCATTGTCCTGTTGCATAGTCCCATGTCAGTCCAACTTTAGCTACTGGACAGATGGCCTCACTTTTGACTCTAGAATACTGTGGTATATAGAGGAGTTCATGGTTGACTCAAAGAGTGCAAGGTGTCCAGGTCCTGTGGCTGCAAAACAAGCCCAAATCATCACCCCTCCACCTCCATTGTTGACGGTTTGTGTGAGATGCTTGTGCTGATACACTGTGTTTGGTTTTCGTCAAACGTGTCACTGTGCATTTTGGCCAAACATCTCTACTTTGGTCTGGTCTGTGCAAAGGACAAGTGTTCCAGAAGTCCTGTGATTTGTTCAGATGCAACTTTGCAAACTTCAGCCGTGCTGCTATGACCTTTTTAGAGAGAAGAGACTTTCCCCTGGCAATCTTTTCAAACTGTTAGGTCTTTTTCTAATTGCACTGACATGAATCTTAACATTTAACCAGCTAACTGAAGCCTGGAGAGTCTAACACTGTGATGGCGAACCTATGGCACGCATGCCACAGGTGGCACGCAGAGCCATTTGTGCCAGCATGCAGTCTGCAAGCAAACTTACCTCACTGGGCATGTGTGCACCTCACAGCTGATTTTCGGCTGGTTTGAGGCCTTTTTCGACCTCCCAAAGGTTTGAGGAAGGCTTCTGCAGGCTTTGCAGGCTGAAAACTAGCCCTGTTTTGTCACTTCCAGTTTTTCCGAAAAGTTTTTGGCTAGTTTTCGGCCTGTAAAGCTTGCAGAAGCCTTCCTCGAGCCTTTGGGAGGCCGAAAAAGGCCACAAACTGGCCAAAAATCAGCTGTGAGGCGCAGTGCAGGTTAAGTTGGCAGGGGTGGGGGGATGGGGATTACGCGTACATACATAGGGGGCATGGTGGGGTGTGCGTTGCCTTCTGGGTGCTGGCATGCGACTGCGAGCCTGCAAGCGCACACACAATTTTTGGCACAGGAGCCCAAAAAGTTTAGCCACCACTGGTCTAACATGCTAACTGAAGGCTGTAGAGTCTTAACACTTTGTTTTTTAGCAATTTCTCTGGCCATTGCATTGTCTGATCTTTGGGCGAATTTTCTAGGATATCCACTCCTGGGAGTCTGGAATGTTCCCCACTTGTGAATAATCTTCCTCAGTGTAGAATGAAGGATTTTAAATTGTTTGAAAATGGCCTTTTAAACTTTGCCAAATTGGTGGGCAGCAACAATTTCTTCTCGAAGATCATTGCTGATATCTTTACTCTTTGGCATTGTGTTGACACACAGCTCAATGCTAGAGACCAGAAAACTCCTCCAAGTTCAGCTTTTGTAGATGTAGTCATGCTTCCTGATGATCAATTGATCAAGGGCATTTTATTAGCAGTACTTGGCTGTTACTTCGCCTCTTTATACTATGGAAGCAGTGAGAAATTTCCTAATGGTGAGAACAATTAACCAGCAGAACGACTTGCCTTCAGAAGTTGTGGTGCTCCATCACTGGAGGCTTTTCAGAAGAGACGAGAGAGCCACTTGTGTAAAATGGTGTAGAATCTCCTGCTTGAACAGAGACTGGATTAGAAGACCTGCAAGTTCCCTTCCAATCCTGTTATTCTCTTCTGTTCTGTTGCGGTGATATTTATGATACCCTGATAAGTAAAACCTTAGAAATCAAAGAGGGTGTACTTTCTTTTTCACTTGACTGTATTTGAAAAGAACCCTTTGCAGTGCTAGGAATTTGTGACTGACCTGGTCAACAAATTAATTTCGTCATTCAGTGGATATTTGAACTTGGATCTGGGAATTCTTCCATGTCTTAAATGAATCATGATTAATGTAAGAGCTTATTGGAGCATTGTGGCATGTTTGCTTTGTCATTGTAACATAAATCTTTATCTTTTTTTCTCATCTTCTGCAAACATTTTATGCACAATTAAAGATATCCTTTTATTTGAATCTTATAGACAAAGAGGATGGCAATAAGAGCACTCTGGACAACTGAGGATAACAAGCAACACTGAATAGCAAAGCAAGTCAGTCCAGAAACCAGAATATCTTCCATTTCCAACTAGAGTGTGAAATTCAAGCAAACATTACAGGCAAAGTCAAAGGAGGTTATTTTTTCATTCAGCAAAAGAGAGAAATATCTTGAAGGTATTGGGGAGGAAAAAGTCAATTGGAAAGCCACATAGAGCAGACAGTGTTGCAGGCCTAGGTCTGGGAAGAAGGAAATCACCACTGAATCAGAGCAGAGGACTCACACAGGAGGGAAACCCTTTAAATGTCTGGTTGTGGAAAAAGTTTCAGAATTCCAACCTTGTGACTCACCAGAGGACTTACATCAGGAGGAAATGTTTGAATGTCTTAAATATGGGAAATGTTTCTGTGATAATTCCAACCTGATGATACACCAAAGGACTCACACAGGAGAGAAACCATCTGAATGTCCTGAGTGTGGGAAAAGTTTCAGTCACAGTTCCAGATTGGTTCAACATCAGAATATTCACACAGACAAGGAACCCTTTGAGTGTCATGATTGTGGTAAAAGTTTCAGTCAGAATTCAAGCCTGGTGAAACACCAGAAGACTCACACAGGAGACAAACGCTTTGAATGTTCTGATTGTGAGAAACAATTCAGTCGGAATTCTCACCTAGTGAGCCATCAGAGGACTCACACGGGAGAGAAACCCTTTGAATGTCCTGACTGCGGGAAAGGTTTCAGTCACAATTCCAGCTTGGTTCAACACCAGAGGACTCACACAGGAGAGAAACCCTTTAACTGTTCTGACTGTGGGAAAAGTTCCAGTAACAATTCCAGCTTGGTTCAACACCAGAGGACTCACGCAGCAGAGAAACCCTTTCAGTGTCCTGACTGTGGGAAACAATTCAGTCGGAATTCTCACCTAGTGAGCCATCAGAGGACTCACACGGGAGAGAAACCCTTTGAATGTCCTGACTGCGGGAAAGGTTTCAGTCACAATTCCAGCTTGGTTCAACACCAGAGGACTCACACAGGAGAGAAA